AAAAACCAGGTGTTCATATGTGCATGGATTAATGTCAGGGTCTTCAATTCGATTCCATTGGTCCACATGTCGGTTTTTATACCAGTACCAAGCTGTTTTTACTACTATAGCTCTATAGTAGAGTTTGAGGTCAGGGATGGTGATGCCTCCTAAGGTTGCTTTATCATATTGGATTCTTTTAGCTATCCAGGGTCTTTTGTTTTTCCATATGAAGTTGAGTATTTTTCTTTCCAAGTCTGTGAAGAGAAACTAATTTTTAAAGCATAAATTTAGAACTTTATATTTATCCTAAGGAATTTTCATTTTTGTGCCTGGACAAAATTGTGGGGTTAAATATTATCTCAGGAATTTTTTTGGCTGAACCACCAATTTTCAGTATTCTGCAACTTAGAAAACTATAATTTCTTCTATCCAAATTATGAGGGAGAATTTTGGATTGGGATTGTGACCAGTGCCCCATACATGGCACTTGAAAACTTTTAGTGACAGGCTGTTTTGGGGTGCATATTCCCCTACAGATCTACTGACATGGTCCTGTAGGTCACAAGCATCCACATGCAACACACATACAAACATATGTGTTCAAGAGGAAAATATTTGTATTTTCTTAATACTATGTGATTACTAAGAATAATTCAAATGACCAAAAACTGAAAGTCTTCTTAAGACCCTGCCTTAATGTGCTTAAGGTAACGCTGAACAATTTGGAGGTTATATCTGACACGGAAACAATACCTGTACATTTGCATGTGTGTATGCATTTATGGCTTTACCTACAGCTAGATCACCTACAGCTTATAGATGAGTGATCCAACTATGCCTTATTTTCTAAATGTTTATAAAACAGATTTGCTCAGTATTACTGTTCTTACTCACTAATCAACCCACCAGTCTGCAGTTCTCAAAGTGGCATTCAGGAAATGAATTATAAGTGTATTGTAGACCAACAGGACAGGTTTTGTTTTTTCTAACAAGATTACTTCTAACATGGGCCACAGAGTTTCCAAATGTTATAGCAGGAGATGGTTCAGTGGGTCAGGTGCTTTCGGCACAGCATGAGGACTCGAGTGTGATTCCCAGCCCCCACTTAAGAAGCCAGGCAGCAGCCTGGTCTCCAAAGCGAGTTCCAGGAAAGGCGCAAAGCTACACAAGGAAACCCTGTCTCAAAAAAAAAAAAAAAAAATGAAGCCTGGCATGTCCACATGTGGCTGTAACCCCAGAGGTGCAGGGGCAGAAGCCGGATGCCCAGAGCTGACTGGGCACCTGGTGTAACAGATTGACTAGTTCCAGGTGCAGTGAAAGACTGTCTCAAGAAATTAGGTGGAGACTGATAGAAGGCACCCGAGGTCAACATCAGCTCCACGTGCACATGCAGTGCACATCTGTGTAGCCCATGAACACCCACACAGTGTTCAGATATAGGGAAAGTAGAGCTGTGGTTTTAATCTCATACATAAGCGGACCATTTTGTTCCTCTTGCAGAACGGGAAACAGTCTTTAGGTAATGTCCCAATGGCCAGAGACCTCTGTAGCAGAGGAGCTTCGTCTTCAAAGCCCATCCCTTCCCACTCCCATCAATTTTTAGTAATGTCCTTTCAGCTTGCATTCAGTTTGGTGAACCTCTGTTGAGGATCTCTGATGTGCCAGGAATTGGGCTAGGCTGGAAGCGTGGTACCGCAAATGTGTTAAGTAAACTGCAGCCATTTATTACCATCAACACCCAGGGTGCTTTGTTGTGGGAGGTAGTCAGCTTACTTAAATTTGATGTTATGATTCCAGCTGCTCCCTGTACTCTTTGTCTGACAGGTAGTTTTATTTAAACTATTGGTAAAGGCATGTGCAGTCTTCCCCTTATATTTCTCTCCTCAACCATGTGGATAAATAGATGAATGCTTACAGTCTGGGAGATAAATATTTACAGAACTGTGTTTACAGTCCTGTGGCTGTGTGTTCATTTCCATGGAACATTTTATAAATGATTTCTTTTATTTTAAAGCCTTCCCCATCACTTTAATGCCTGTGTAGCAAATGTCATCAAAGTGATGTGCCTTATGCATGTGTTACCATGACTTGAAGACTCTTCTCTGGGACTCATTAACAAACTTCATCTGAGCTGCCTCCTTGCTGTTGATTCTCTATAGCAGAAAGCCTGTTAAAAGCCTAGTGTGAGGTTTTGATAAGATTAATGTACCTGTGAGACAGGCAGCTCCTCAGTATTTTATGCCATTGTGCTATACTTGAGTCCAGGTTATTTTGACAGTGCAGGAGTGAGACATTGTGGTATTGTATCCCCCAAATATTGTGCACCCTAATAAACTTATCTGGGTCAGAGACAGAGCAGCCACAATATTAAACATAGAGGATAGGCAGTGGTAGCACACGCCTTTAATCCTAGCATTCCAGAGGCAGAAATCCATGTGTTCAAGGATACAGCCAAGGCATGGTGACTCATCACGTCTTTAATCCCAGAAAGTGAGCCTTTAATCCCAGGGAGTGATGGTAGAAAGGAAAGATATATAAGGTGTGAGGACCAGGAACTAGAGGCATTTGGCTGGTTAAGCATTTGGCTGGTTAAGCATTCAGGCTTTTGAGCAGCAATTCAGCTGAGACCCATTCTGGATGAGGATTCAGAGACCTCCAGTCTGAGGAAACAGGATCAGCTGAGAAACTGGCAAGGTGAGGTGGCTGTGGCTTGTTCTCGTCTCTGACCTTCCAGTGCTCACCCCAATAACTGGCCTCAGGTTTGATCTTATTAATAAGAACTTTTAAGACTCATGCTACAACACTCTGTAGTTGTTTGGCTGTTCGAATTGTATTGGCTTTTTAAATATTATTTTTAATATTAATATTTTTAACATTTTAAAAATATTTTTAATATTTTTAATTGTATTAGATTTTTAAATGTTTATTTGTGACTTTTTAATTTAGAATGGATTCGTTCTTCTTGGCTGAGATGTTTAAATATCTCTACCTGTTATTTGCTGACAAAGAAGACATTATTTTTGACATAGAAGATTACATCTTTACAACAGAAGCTCATCTGTTGCCCCTCTGGCTCTCCACCACAAATCGCAGCATCTCCAAGAAGAACACAGTGAGTTTTCAATTCATGCCTTCCTCATCTTTCCACTTCCGTGTATCCACTTTCCTTTTCTAAGTAGGAAGTAACCCATACTTAGAATTCATTTAATATGTGCACGGTGAGAGGAAAGTGCTTGTAATAGTATCTCATTTTCTTTTAGAGTATCACTCTTGTTTTATAAACATTTCCTTTTTACTCATAATATTAAGTAGCACTGTTATTATTAGTTATATAATTTTTTTTTTAATGTTTCAGACCTCGGAATACACAGAACTGGATGATAGTAATTTTGATTGGACTTGTCCAAACACTCAGATTCTTTTTCCTAATGATCCATTGTATGCTCAGAGCATCCGTGAACCCTTGAAAAATGTGGTGGATAAGAGCTGTCCAAGAGGCATCATCAGAGTGTAAGACATGTTATTTTCTATTTATTACTATAATTTTACTAATTATACTAAGTTAATTCACAATAAATAACAGAGCACTTAAGGAGCTGTAACAATATCAGAAAGACTTCCACCTAAACCAGATACTAGGGTATGTAGTTTTTATTGAATAAAAATTATGTGACCTTTTATCTATTTTTGTTTAATAGCAGATAGTATATAACAGTTTTTAAATTTCTCTAGCTCATTTTTAGGCATAAAAGAGTCAACTGTTTCATTATGTCTTATATGTGTAAGAAAATACTTTCCTCTGTATGTCTATAGTTTCTGCATAGTGGAAAGTTTTTGCTTGGTTTTGTTTGTGCTTTATTGTTTTCAGAATTAGCTCATTTTTTTCTATATAGTTGTTAGAAAGGCCATTGACTACAAGGGAGCTGAAAAAATGAAGTAGGCATTATTATCCACTGATGAAAGTATTGTTTTGCTTTTAAATACCGTGAGGGCTGGAGAGATGGCTCAGCCGTTGAAAGTACTGGCTCCTCTTCCAGAGACCCAGGTTCTATTCCCTGTACCCAATGGCAGTTCACAACCATCTGTAATGCCAGTCCCAGGGGATCTGATGCCCTCTTCTGGCTTCCAAGGGTACTGCATGAACATGGTGCACAGACATACAAGCAGACAAAACACCCATACACATACAATTTTTAAAAATTAAAACTGAAAAAAAAGTGAGAAAAATACGTTTTTAGAGAAAGACAGCATACATGATCTAGTTTTTGTAATACACACACACACACACAGTGACTCAGTTTGTTAGTAATCAGAGTCATGCGTAGGAAAATACATTACTCCAGCTTCACCATTTCTAAAATTAGCCATTTCCAATATCTACTAAGATTATTCTTATTTGTTTTTTATATTTCACTGCTTATAATGTGTAGTTAGTTGTAAGCCTTGTTTCTTGTTCCTTTCTGCAGAGAGGAGAGTTTCAGAAGTGGAGCTAAACCTCCTCTGAGAGCCAGAGATTTTATGGCCACTAACCCTGAACATTTAGAAATCCTGAAGAAGATGGGGGTGAGTTTGATTCACCTCAAAGATGGGCGAGTCCAGCTGGTCCAACATGCAATCCAAGTAAGACATTGCTGGATGGGCTAGATGCTGTCTTTGCTGTTTAGTGCCAAGAGTATGCTGGCATTTGACCGTGTAAACTTTAGAGTAGATGTAACGGAGCTCTTGGGAAAGTTCCTAACTCTCTGTAATCATTTGGGTAACTTGTTTATATTAATACCGTCAAAGATAGGACTTCAATCTAAATTTTTCTCTCAGTTTATTGTCTTTCCACTATTTTAATTCAAGTTAGTGGTTAATTTTATTATTTATATGATAATACTCCACACTCTTTTAGTTTTCAATAAGTACTAAATCTAGGTATTTCATTTGTCACAGAAATCAAGCTTTGAGTATATTTTTACCTGAAAAATATAACATATCTTTTAGATAATTTTTTATTGGTTTTTAATCTAAAGATTTTATAACATGAAACCTCTAAGTTATTTACTTTATTAGCACATTGATTCTGAACAACGTAATATTCTGAATAGTTATAAGCTGTATGCACACTCAGACAACCTTACCTCTCAAATTCAGCTTTCCCACAACCTTACTTTTCCTTGAAGATTTCTATCTATTTTCTTGCCATCTCTGTCTTCCATTTAAGAGTACCCTATGTCCTTATGGTACCGAATTGTGAGCGTGGCTCAGATGTTTTTATTTAGACTACCCGTGAAGTAGTGGCCACCAAGCGGCCTCTTAATCTTGAACACAATTGAACTTTTCTGTAACCCTTGATTTTCTTCTTCTTAAAACATGTCCTTCTTTCTGGTTCCTTTTCAGTTCTCGCTCTGCGCCTTGTAGATTCCTCTGTAGCTCTGCTTCCCTGGCACTCCCACTCAGTGTAGGGTGGTCTGACTCTAGATGATATTCTTTTCTCTCTATTTCTTCTTCAACGGTCTTCTGTCTCTGACACTAGCTTTAACAGGTGACTTCTTGGACATATGTATATAGCACTCATTCCAAAAATTCTAAACCCAGCTTTAATATATCTGCTATGCATTTGTACATCTCAGCATCCATCTGCCCTGAATTGAATGGCATTTTTCTTCTCTGTGCATTCCTATCCTTACCTCAGATCTCTTCTCTGTGTTCCATTCAGTAAACTCCCATCGTTCTCTGGGCTCTTTCTAGCGCTAGAAATTTCAGAGTGCGATTGAACTCCTGGTGTCTCTCTGTCCTCCAACCCCTACAGCAAATCCTGTTTTTTGGGCAACTTTTTCTGATGATGGATATCTTCAATTTCTCCTTGGCTGAGACTTAGTTCTTAGTTATACACAAGCAGAACTAATTATTCCCTTGTGCTGACTTTTTTTTGACATTGTTAATGTTTGCATGTCTTTCTCTACTAGACAGACTTAAAGACTGTCTCCCAGTGCTTCAGCTCGCTGTGGGGACAGGATAAGTTCTTAATACATGGTTCGAATCTCACTGAATCTGCTTGCTAGTTTGGAGTTTCAAAAAGAGGAAATACAGGGGTCAGGCAAGAAGCTTCTTTTCCTTCAAAGGGGAAGCCAGTAGAGGTAAACAGCCAAGGGTACTTGAGCATTTGATACAGCACAGTTTCAGATCCCCATCAAAGGTGTTTATATGTGGGAAAGAGACACTGATCAAAGTTACAGATAATGCTTTTCAGAAAATTCAATTCCTGAAAGTAGGGTATCGAGGGCAGCGAGTTAGATGGAAAATATTTAGTGGGGACCTAAACTAAAAGGAGAAATTCCATGCAGACGTCTGTAATTTCGAGAGTCAGAAAGATGGGGGAGTTTGCAGGAAGGAAAGCCAAGTAAACCGAATCTGTTTCTCTGTAGGCTGCTAGTTCCATTGATGCTGAAGATGGGCTGCGGTTCATGCAGGAGATGATTGAACTGTCGAGTCAGCAGCAGAAAGAGCAGCAGCTGCCTCCACGAGCTGTACAAATTATCTCCCACCCGTTTTTTGGCAGGGTAGTCTTAACCGCTGGACCAGCTCAGTTTGGGCTGGACCTATCTAAACATAAAGAGGTATGTGCACTCCAGTAAGCTTACTGAAATTAAAGTAGTAAGTATTTGATGTCTTTGTCTCTGATTAAGTAGCTTTATGTTTAGAAGTTGGGGTCTGAGTGTACATTTCCACGGTAGAAACACACACTCAGCTGACACCCTGGCTTCAGTCCCCACAATAAACGTTACTTTAGCATTCAGCCTCCTGCACTGAAGTGAAAGCGTCCTTAAATTTGTGTACGGTGCCTGGCGGGATGTCCCCATCATTCGAGTGCTTACTGCTGTACACAGATGAGGACCTGAGTTCAGCCCTGAGCAGCCACAGAGAAGCCAGGCGTGTCAGTGTGCCCTTCTAATCCCAGCCCTGAGGAGGCAGAGACAGGGGCATCCTCAGGGAGCCCTGGCTGGCCAGCCTAGCCTAATTTGTGGTCCCCAATTTCTAGTGAGAGACCCAGTCTCAAAAAATGAGGTGAATGGCTCTTGATGAATGATAGATGAGATTGATGATTGATCTCTAGCTTCTGCATGTACACACACACAGACAGAGAGAGAGAGAGAGAGAGAGAGAGAGAGAGAGAGAGAGAGAGAGAGAGAGATATCCCAGAAAGCTCTTGATACTAAAGTGAAATGATTCGATTGTAATTGAAGAAGATAAAAGATGATTTCGGTTACTTTTATTTCCGACAGACAAGAGGATTTGTTGCAAGCAGTAAACCTTACAATGGTTGTTCAGAGCTCACTAACCCTGAGGCAGTGATGGGAAAGATTGCCTTGATACAAAGAGGACAGTGCATGTTTGCAGAAAAGGCACGCAACATCCAGAATGCCGGAGCCATTGGCGGCATCGTTATTGGTAAGTAATTCTCTGTCTCAGGGTATTGATCAAGAGGAGGTGATTTGGGGATTTTCCCTTTATGTTTTAAAATCTTATCAAAGGGTTTGTCAGGTTATTTTTATTACGACAACATAAAGGATAGATGATCAATGACATGATAATTTCTATATATTTATCTATCTCTAAAACCCAGAAACTGGTTTCTGCATATTAATATGTCAGTGGAGATATTTGAGATAAGGTCTGAGGGTGGGTAAAGTTGGAGTGTTGTGAAAATACCCCACACTCTGGGAAGGAAACTGTGACCTTGAGACCTCAAGTCTCCAGGTAAGAATTGTTCTCAGCCACCTCCAGTGTGCAGCCTTTAGAGACTCCATTCCTCCACAGGGTGGCAGGCTTTGGGGCCACAGCCACGTGGGTGCAGTTAGTGGCCTGCCACAGAATGACAGTGCCGCCTTGGCCCAGCTTCAGCTCCTTGTTACCTTTTCTCTCTGAAAACGATGTTTTGAGCTGCAAATACTGGACAACACATAAGAACTGGTTATTAGAACATTTTATCCCAGGCATTTTTTTCCACTGAAATTACAAATTACCAGCTTTATCCATGCATTTCAACCTCTGAGTTTTGCTATTCCCAATCCCCCTTTTTTCCTCATAACAAGCCATGACTAGCAGCAGAAATTTAAATTTTTTCTATGTTTAAGGTAAAAAGGCATTTGCATCTAGAAAGAAAGTTGTGAATTGACCAGGAAAGTCCATCTTCTCTTTTCCATTTCCTTAATTAGTATTCATTTCTACATTGAGAATACTTAAGACATTTAGAGGATCACTTAGTGACCCTGCTTTTGACTCGAGTATCATGAAAAACAGAAGATGTGAACACATAAGTATTAGGATTTATTCCCTTTGTTTATTCTATACAAATACTAAAATGTTGGTTTAAGTGAATAAATTTCACTAGTTAAAAAGTTTTAGGAGAAATTGTGTTTAATAATGTAAACCCACATTTAGCAAACTATCAGGTTCTTCAGTGTAGGTGTTGCTGAGACACAGCCACACCGACTTGTGTAGATGTCTCGAGTGCTCCGAGGTACAGAGTTGGATAGTTCCAACAGAGAACACAAAGCTGACAGCGTTCGCTGTGTGGCCAGGTACAGGACATTTTTGCTGACTCCTGACTTCAGTACTTTTAAGTGTGTATGTGTACAGATGTGTGCGTGTGTGCACATTCATGTACACGTGTGTGGAGGCCACAGGTTAACATTAGTGTCTTTCCAGCTGTTCTCCACCTTATTTTTGAAACGGTCTTTCACTGGGCCCAGAACTTTGACTGGCTGGTGAACTAGAGGGTCTACCTGTCCCCCTAAATCCAGGTGCTAGGGTTACAGATGAGCGTCACCATGCCCAGCTTTTATGTGGTTACTGGGGATCCATATTTAGATCCTTTGCTCGTGTGCTGGGCATTGTAACAACTAAGCCATTTCCCGGCTCCCTGACTCATCCTGCGTATCTTTGGCTATTTTCACATTGAGGCTTACTGAAGAACTCTTACTGAAGAACTTAATGTCTTATTGTCACTATGATTCTGAGCATTTCTTGTTTACCAAGATTAAAAACAGAGGTTTAAAGTGTAAAATATAGTGTGGATATGTACATCAATCTTAGAAAATACTGTTCTGTGTTAAGATTTTCCCAGTTTCTGGGCAGAGTCTTTGTGAGGCTCTGATATATAAAGACTGTCAGGTCAGACATTTTCTTTAGTATCTGTCGATGCAGAATCCTACACTGGATTCTGTGGAACAAGAATGAAATGATGGTCTCGGGCGGTGGTGTTGCACGCCTTTAATCTCAGTACTCGGGAGGCAGAGCCAGGCGGATCTCTGTGAGTTCGAGGCCAGCCTGGTCTAAAGAGCAAGATCCAGGACAGGCACCAAACTACACAGAGAAACCCTGTCTCGAAAAACAAAAACGAAAAGAAAAGAAAAGAATGAGATGATGTTTTTTGTTGTCAGAAAATTTATTTTAAAAAGAAATTTAACATGTGTGTGAGACTTCTTTCTCCTAAAATTTTTTTTCCTGATGAAGCATTTTTTTCCTTTAAATAAAATTGGGTTTGTTTGTTTGTTTGTTTGTTTCTTTCTCTCTTTCTTTCTTTCTTTCTTTCTTTCTTTCTTTCTTATTACAAAGACTGCAGGAGGTAATGATTTACTTGCTATTTTAAGAAGGAGGGTGTTTACTGTATGGAATGGCATGGTTTTCATTCAGCCTAAGAGTGGTCCTGCAGCTGGAGTTGACCCGGGGTGCATGTGAACTGTGAGCTCCCGGGGTTGCCAGGGTCCGCACTTCTCTTCCTCTAGTGCGTCTAGTCTTTGGGCGTTTTACAGCTGCGCCTCCTCCTCAGCCCCTCACGCACCTGCTCCCGCTCCCTCTCTGTTCATAGCTCCCCAGAGGCAGCCAAGCCCTCAGCCTGAATCACTTGCATGGACTGTCACCCACCACGGGCAGAGCAGTCTTCCTGGGTGGCAGTTCTAGGACCCTAGGGGACTGGGGTCAGACAGCCGGCCTCTGTCTGCTCAGTTACTGAGAGGACACACTGTGTTTGCCACTTAGTTGGGCCTATGAAGCAAGTGCCGTGTGAGACGGCCTTTTCATTTCCCCACGAGACTGGTGTGTGATACTGCGAGTGGATGTGATTGACACTTACACTCTCAGAGAATTTAACTGATGCTTAAACAGTGTGAGGTAATACTGTTTAATTCAGCTTAGTACCAGTTAAGTAATCCTTGGTCTAAACATTTGTGATTTCAGAGCATTTTAAGTTTTGTGGGTTGTTTTTTTGGTTTTCGAGATAAGGTTTTTCTGTGTAGTTTTGGAACCTGTCCTGGATCTTGCTCTGTAGACCAGGCTAGCCTTGAACTCTCAGAGATCCACTTGGCTCTGCCTCCCAAGTGCTGGGATTAAAGGCGTGCACGCCCACCGCCCAGCGCATTTTAAGTTTTTTAATTAGGAATGCTCAAACACCAAGGAAGGTCAAGATCATGACAGGGAAACCCACAGAGACAGCTGACCCAAGCTCATGGGGGTTCACAGACTCTGGACCGACAGCTAGGGAGCCTGCATGGGACCTACCTCGGTCCTCTGCATGTAGATGACAGTCATGTGGTTTGGTCTGTTTGTGAGGCCCCTAGCAATGGGACCAGGTCCTGTTGCTGGCACATGAGCTGGCTTTTTGGAAACTACTCCTCATGCAGGGATGCCTTGCCCAGCCTTGATGCAGGGGGAGGAGCTCAGTCCTACCTCAGCCTGACATGACATGCTTTGTTGACTCCCATGGGAGACCTGCCCACTTCTGAACAGTGGAGGAGCGGATGCAGGGACAGATGGGAGGTGCGGGGAGGGAACGGGAAGAGAGGAGGGAGGGGAAACTGGTTGGTATGTAGAATAAATGAAAAAGTTTAATAAAAAGAGAGAAAAGGAACCCTAAAACTCTAACAAATACATTAGAGGAAATTTAAAAGTTCATTCATAGTTCTGGCTGTGTGATCCAGGTTATTAAAATCTTTCGTTTTTAGGCTTTTCCTTAAACATATGAAAATATCCCAGTCATAATCATAGAAACTTGCATTCTGTGTTTTTCATATACTGTTTCCTTTGTGCAAGTAGTTTGCTATGATTTATTGAGAGCCGTTTATATTAGTGTAGTCCAGTAAATTTTTTTGAGTTTAGAGTTTTTGCTACTTTCAGTTATTTCCTTAGGCGAAGTCATAAAAAGAGTTGATCCGAAGATTCAATTCATTTGTCTAGTACATAAAGTCGTTTCCGTCAATAGAGAGGCAACAGTGTGTCTCTGCAGTGGACGGCCCTGACGCCTGTCTGTTTTCTGATGTCTCTGCAGTGGACGGCCCCTGACGTCTGTCTGTTTTCTGACCGTCTCTGTGTGGACGGCCCCTGACGGCTGTCTGTTTTCTGACGTCTCTGTGGACGGCCCCTGACGGCTGTCTGTTTTCTGACGTCTCTATGTGGACGGCCCCTAACATCCGTCTGTTTTCTGACGTCTCTATGTGGACGGCCCCTGACGTCTGTCTGTTTTCTGACCGTCTCTGTATGGACGGCCCCTGACGTCTGTCTGTTTTCTGACGTCTCTATGTGGACGGCCCCTG